CACAATATTACCTTTGTACATAATTATATTTAACAATTATTTAAGGTATTCAATCCCTTATTGCAACAGATTCAATCAAATTGAATTTCAAATCTAAAAATTTTATCCAGTAATTTTTTTTTATTATCGTCATTCTTTTGAGGTTGTTGTTACGCTTTGTTTTGCAGAAAGAATAATGATATATAAGAAACACATGGGAACAGAAAGTAAAAAAAAACTTCAATCTACACTATGTAGAAACACTTGAATAAAAATCACGATATTGGTGAAGCATGAAAAATATTGATATCTGGTTCGCATGCAGTATAAAAAAAGAGATATTCTGCATGTTTAAGTAGTTTATGATCCATCTGAGAAAAAAACTTCTTTTCTAAAACTCTTTATCACTTGAACGGAGCGATTAGATTTCTGAAGAACAAATCTCAACTTAAATTATCATACATCACTTAAGAATTTACATTTTTTTATTTTGAGAAAAATGCACCTCGTTTTATTTTTTTCAAGTATAACTCATCACTGTATATTCGTAAATGAACAAAATTGAAGGGGTTAATAAGACCTTTTTTTTTTAAATTGACGTTGGTACGATTTGTTTTGCAGAAACTCTGAGGAAAATAGATTGCTCTCTAAGTGAATTACTGGTTGATATAATTCGGGAGGGGGTGTGGGCTGGGGTTTCTGTTGCACAATATTACCTTTGTACATAATTATATTTAACAATTATTTAAGGTATTCAATCCCTTATTGCAACAGATTCAATCAAATTGAATTTCAAATCTAAAAATTTTATCCAGTAATTTTTTTTTATTATCGTCATTCTTTTGAGGTTGTTGTTACGCTTTGTTTTGCAGAAAGAATAATGATATATAAGAAACACATGGGAACAGAAAGTAAAAAAAAACTTCAATCTACACTATGTAGAAACACTTGAATAAAAATCACGATATTGGTGAAGCATGAAAAATATTGATATCTGGTTCGCATGCAGTATAAAAAAAAGATACCCGATTTAAGCCCAATTCTCGTCAAACAAAATGATTCAACAAGACTTGGAAATAGGAAATAGCTGTATTTTCATTTACAATACCCCCCCCCCCCCGGACAAAATTGTCCATTTATAAAGAACTACGAACGGCAACTTCCGATTCCCGCCAACATTTTACAACCATTTAATTCAATATTGATGACAATTTGTGCTGTTGTTATGAAATAACCACAGCATAACTTACTAGTAATAAAGCACCATCTTCACATGAAATAGCCACATAAAGCAGCTATGGCGTTCCATACTATGTGGCTATTTCATAAGAAGTGGTAATATGCTAATGTGCTAATTTTAGTGATTGTTTTTAGCTCACCTGAGCCGAAGGCTCAAGTGAGCTTTTCTGATCACATTTTGTCCGTCGTCCGTCCGTCCGTCTGTCTGTCTGTCCGTCCGTCTGTAAACTTTTCACATTTTCGACTTCTTCTCAAGAACCACTGAGCCTATTTTGACCAAACTTGGTAAAAAGCATCCTTGAGTAAAGGGGAATTTAAATTGTTAAAATGAAGGGCCAAGTCCCCTCACAAGGGGAGATAATCAAGAAAAGACAAAAATAGGGTGGGATCATTAAAAAATCTTCTTTTCAAGAACCACTGGGCCAATAAGGCTGAAACTTATGTGGAGGCACCCTGGGATAGTGTAGATTCTAAACTGTTCAAATCATGACTCCCGGGGGTTGGGCGGGGCCACAATGGGGAATCAAAGTTTTACATAGAAATATATAGGAAAAATCTTTGAAAATCTTCTCAGGAACCACTGGTCCAGAAAAGCTGAAACTCATGTGGAAGCATTGTGGGGTAGTGTAGAATTTAAATTTTTCAAATCATGACCCCGGGGGGTTGGGCGGGGCCACAATGGTGAATCAAAGTTTTACATAGAAATATATAGGAAAAATCTTTGAAAATCTTCTTCTCAAGAACCACTGGGCCAATAAGGCTGAAAATTATGTGGAGGTACCCTGGGGTACTGTAGATTCTAAATTGTTCAAATCATGACCCCGGGGGTAGGACGGGGCCACAATGGGGAATCAGAGTTTTACATAGAAATATATAGGAAAAATCTTTGAAAATCTTCTTCTCAGGAACCACTGGTCCAGAAAAGCTGAAACTCATGTGAAAGCATTGTGGGGTAGTGTAGATTTTAAATTTTTCAAATCATGACCCCCGGGGGTAGGGCGGGGCCACAATGGTGAATCAAAGTTTTACATAGAAATATTTAGGAAAAATCTTTGAAAATCTTCTCAAGAACCACTGGACCAGAAAAGCTGAAACTGATGTGGAAGCACCCTGGGGTACTGTAGATTCTAAATTGTTCAAATCATGACCCCCGGGGGTAGGGCGGGGCCACAATATGTATTACAAGGGAGAAATCTGGTAAAGAACAATATGACAAAAGATTCTCAGGTGAGTGATGTGGCCCATGGGCCTCTTGTTATTTTTATGTTTGCGAGTGTATTTAGGTACATCAAGGAAAAAAACATTAATACACAAAATACACCAACCTTAAACCAAATGCTTAATGAAAAAAGAGGAACTAGCAATAGTTTATTCAAATGATTTTAATTTCATCGATTACTTATACTAGTATTTTTTTTACATTCAAAATTTCAAGATAACAGCTGTTAAACTCAGTATGAAACTCAATTTTCAAAAATATGAGGAATACCTTACATTAAATATTTTTTTAAAAACTACTTTCACCTGAAATAACCACAACATAATATAATAAAGCACCTCCTCCATATAAAATAACCACAGTGTAATACAATAAAGCACCACCTCCATATAAAATAACCACAGCATAATATAATAAAGCACCGTCTTCAAATAAAATGACCACAGCATAATATAATAGAGCACCATCTTCTCATGAAATAGCCACATAAGGCAGATATGGGGTTCCATAACATAAGGCAGCTATGGCGTTCCATATAGACGTATACTAAATTTTTGGTTGAAATGGGATTTGAAAGTATTTTTATGTTTTCCCAGGTAAATGTGTGATTTCGTATTGTGGCCCAGTCCTAAAACTAGATAAAATTCACTTTGAAAAAACAACTCTGATCCCTTTTTGTGCCTCCTACCAATTTTAAGGGGGACTTTGTGACAATGATTTTCCCAAAGGATGTTTAAATATCAGTATGAATATCAGGAGATTGCATCTGTTTCTATTTATACAATGTAAGTGACTGAACTAAATGTAGACTGATGACATATTAAAAGGATTACATGTAGCTACTTTCTTATTTACGATTTTTATTTCATTCTTAAATATTATTATATTATTTAATATGTACTGGTCCCTGCTGACAAAGCATGTAACAATATTGTCTTTCATAAGACTCAATATTGTATTTTAGAGAAACTGGGATTTAATTCCACTAGTGGTAATCCAAATTATACCTATATCTCCCGAGGAGGAAATTCTTCGAAATCATATGTAGGTTTTAATTATTTTTAATATTCCAAACAACCAACATGGATTTAAATAACTATATCTAGATTGAAAACCAAAATTTTATTACATAACAGATTCCAGAAAATTTTTGGAATCACAAGATTTTCCCCAAACCAACAGCTTTAAACTTACGACTTTTCAACTTTATACACCACCATTACCCACGATACATTAAAGACTAGGCTTTTTTATATCATTGGCAGCTTTTTTCATAAAAATAATGGAACTCGTAAATTATCTGACCTTTTTATTGGTCATTTGCAAAATCATTATGTTAATAACATTCTGATTGTACACACAAGTACTCTGAAGTTGAAATCAAAAAGATGCTTGACTTTTTGATTGACAATATCTTTGTGAGTTTTGGAGACTAGGTCTTCCAACAATCTATTGGAATTTCGAAGAGTACCATTTTCGCCCCGTTATTAGCAGACCTATTTTTGTTTGTATTCATATGAAGCAGAATATGTCTTATATCTTATGAAAAGAAGAAAACATTTGCTGTGGCCTTCAAGTTGACATTTAGATATATCAGTGACGTGTTGTCAATTAACAATGGTTATTTCCATTCTTATGTTGATACAATATATCCAGGTGAGCTTGAGATAAACGATACCACATATTCTGGCACATCTGTTTCATCTTTGGATATTTTACTTGAAAATGACGTTAATGCTAAATCCATCAACCAAACTCTATGATAAACGTGATAACTAATTTTTCAATTGTCAACTTCCCTTACTTATGCATCAGAAAACTTTCATCACCTACATACGGGGTATATACCTCTCAATTAATTCGATACGCAAGAGCATGCTCTACGTAGATACAATTTCAAAAACGAGGTTAATTAATGACAAACAAGTTGATGAAACAAAGATATCAGCAGTCTTCTTTAAAGTCATCATTTTGTAAGCTCTATGGTCGATACAATGACCTTGTCAGAAACTACAATTTATCAATGAGTCAAATACTGACCTACGTTTTTCATATTTATTGTTAGTCAATTAATTACACGTTTTCTATACAATTTAAACACTGAATTATCGACGGACTTTTTCCATTATTTCACGATCATGACAAGAGCACAAGACAGGTCTAACCTACCGACAGGGGATTCTCACTCTCTAAAGGGACTTGATATCCCACCTTTGATTTTTTGAGGTCCACGTTTGCTCTGCTCCATATTTGCATTGTTTAATGGACTTTTGAGCTTGAATACTGTTCGATATCTTCATATTCTTTTTCTTATTGATAGTGAAGAAAATATGAAAATGAGAAGTTTTAAACAAAAGTTATGATTAAATGTATTTAAAAAAAAACCACGCTATTTGTCTGGTTTTAATGGGTGCCCACATAAAAGCGAGGAAATAAAAAAAAAAACCTAGAAGGCCTTTTTATGTCTCTCTGTTTGTTTGTATTTCAAATAAGACGCAATAGGAATCTGTCAAACTCTTTTATTAATGTTTTATTTCTTTAAAACATTGCAATTTTCATGATTAATAAAAAATAAATTACTGGTCATATTGCCATCAACATTTATCTTCACATTTCCATTATTAGATACACATTTTCTAAGAATATAAATTTAATATAAAAATATACATTATTTTGAAGTTGTCTGCAAATATCATTGCATTTTTAGTCTCAAGGCTTAATGTGTAATATTATTTCATTCATGCAGACATTCATAATTTGATTTTTCCCGCATAATTCACATCCTTTTTATCTTTACTTTTATCAAGGGTGATTTAGGGCCCTTTCCCTTTTTCCTTGGTAGGTTATGGACGGATGTTGGTTTTGTAAAGGTCCATTCTCAATGTTGTCAAAATGGAGTAAGCTGTAAAAAATTATATATATTTACTTGAAACATATTTTAATTAAAAAAAAAAAAAAATAAGATTCAAAGTTTAAAAGCAAAAAAAAAAAAAATAGTTGAAAGTGAAATTAGGGGAAATTAAAGGACTAACCTGATCGGTGCTGTATTTATTTGTAGTTAGCTTAGGTCTTGTTATCTAGAAGAAAATCCGATGCATGTAAAGCGAGTTTAAAAATCGAGTGTGTTGATTTGATAACATTCAAAACTGGTTATAACATGTGCAGTGTGCAAATCTAGGTGTTGCATTCTTAAGTATTGATTAAAAGGTACGCTGGTAAAAGATGTACAGAGGTTAATAAATGCCATTCTACTAGTATTCCAGACGATCTCTGTAGACTACTTCGCATAATCAGTTTAATGATCAGTTTAATAGGCTATATCATGTGTTTATATGTCCACAATTTTAGAAAGGTAACTATAATACTCCCCCCCCCATCCAATCTTCTTCACAGTGTACCGAGGCAGAGAAATAATATATACCTGAGCATGAAAGGTTGGATCCTGGAAATGTCTGTCCATGGAAGCATAGGTTTCCTTGCTTTCTGATGGTTCCCAGTGGTCATAACCCTTGTTTTCAAAGGATTGTAAGTTCTAAAATAATTAAACAGCAAACATTTACATAATAGTTTCACAACAATAATAACTGATATCTATAGTACGAGGGTTTTTAACATTTCAGTAATCTTCATAATTTATACAATGTATCTTACTGTCGCTCATTCAGCGAAAAAATGAGGAAGCTCTTCATTTTGTGACATTTCTAGGGTATTATTGTTAACTCTTGAAAATTAGTATGTCGAAAAAATACAATGAATTGCTTAAGTATCCGTTCACTCATTAAAATATTCCCCCCAAAGCCATACAGGAGGTTCAAAAAACATGCAAGTATAAAATAATACACTTGTCACAAAGTAAATTTTACCAAATTTATTTAAAATGTAACAGAATTTTAACTTATAAAACGAATTATTTTTAATGCCTGTTTTTAACATATGTCGAAAATTATTTATCAATCAATTAATGTTTAGACAGTAAAAAAGAAATTTGTCACTCAATATTTATTTAAGGAATTAGTGTCAATCCTCTACCTCAAAGAGTGTCCGACTTGTATGTGTGATAATTGCGTAAATGTGTTAATTGAAGTTTGAGTGAATCCCGTATGTTGTGTGAGAGAGTTAGTTTTAGATCCGCCGTGGACAATCCCGGACGTGAAAATTAGATGCACTGGACATTCCGTCATCAAGAAAAATACAGTTTTACTCTGGACTATTCCGAGTTGCCAAAACGTTTGTGTGTCCGTGTGTGAGCGTTACCACCTGTCTTTGTTGTCCCCCGCTTTCGCGAAAGCGAGGGGACATTAAATCTCATTCGTCTGTCCGTCGGTCCGTCTGTCTGTCCGTCGGTCCGTCAGTCTGTCCGTCACAAAAACTTTAACCATGCCCATAACTTTTGATTTAGTGGAGCTATAATTTTCATATTTCATATGTGTATTCCTTGTGATAAGACCTTTCTTTGGGTACCACCAAATTTGACCTTTTGACCTTGACCTTGGAGTTTCAACTACTTTTACTAAAAAATTCCAAACTTTTACTTTGGCCATAACTTTTGAATGGTAGGTACTAGGACTTCCATATTTCACATATTTATTCTTTGTAACAAGACCTTTCAATGAATACTAACAACTTTGACCTTTTGACCTTGACCTTGGAAATTTACGTACTTATGAAAAAACTATATCCTTGACCATAATTTTTGAACGGTAAGGGCTACGGCTTTTATACTTCACATATTTTATTCTTGTAAGAAGACCTTTCATTGGATACCAAGAACTTTGACCTTTTGACCTTGACCTTGGAGTTTTAACTACTTTTTAAAAATTATTACCTTGGTCACAACTTTTGAACGGTAGATACAAGGACTTTTATATTTCACACAATTATTCTTTGAGGAAACACCTTTCATTGGATACCAAAAACTTTGACCTTTGGACCTTGACCTTGGAGATTTACGTACTTCTGAAAAAACTTTAACCTTGACCATAACTTTTAAACGGTAAGGGCTAGGGCTTTTGTACTTCACATATGTAATCCTTGTGAGAAGACCTTTCATTGCATGCCAAGAACTTTGACCCTTTGACCTTGACCTTGGAGTTTTAACTACTTTTTAAAAACGTTAACCTTGGTCACAACTTTTGAACGGTAGAAACTAGGACTTTCATATTTTAAATATATGTATTTTTTATGGCAAGACCTTTCATGGGATACCAAAAACTTTGACCTATTGACCTTGACCCTAAAAATGATATCTTGCCCACAAAGATACCGAAAGCGGGGGACCACAATTCTTTGAATTTGCTTGTGTTATGTGACTTGACTTGATTTATTTTTCAAAATACAAACTTTAACTTTTTCTTGCTTTACTTTCGTTTAATAAATTTTCATCACAAGTTCACTTGTGTTACACTTACTAATAATAACTGGGTCGAATATGAAGTGTAATTCACTTCTAGCCCAATAGAGTTTCCGAACTAAAAATCATTTCCTTACATCACGAATCTAGAGCAAACGCTCTAAACACTTCGCAACGAGGGCGACGGGAAAGATTTCAGTGTTGCATAAAGTCTTTCTTATACAGCAGAGGTTCATTTTTTCTTCTTTCTTAAATGTTTGGAAAATATTAGAAAATCTTTCGAAAGAGCTAGTAAAAAATTAGCCATTTTATGATATATATATATGTATACATGGGGGGGGGGGGACGGGGGCTCTCTGTTTTGTTTATGGTCTATGGGCCCCTTCTTTAGATAGTAGTTTAAAAACATTGCATGGGGGGGGGGGGGGTACATATTTTATTAATAAAATCATCCAGTGCCTTTTTGTTCTTTTACAACTTAAAAGTTTTGATATTTGAAAATTATATCTTGACATATACATTGTATAAAAAAAATATTTAAAATATTTGAATGGCTCTTCATATTATCCTGTATAAAGTAAACCACATCTGAATGATAATGTTAGCAGGTAAAATCACAAAACATGCTGCATTATAAAGGAAGCTAGTATAGAGATGGAGAGAAACACAAACCACTTGATCCGCTCCGACATCGTCCCGTGGTATAGGTTTCCTGTGGTATTCGTCTGAGGTAACGTATCTCCTGTCATACATTAAATTCTCACGGTCGTCAAACCTAAATAGGTAGATTACATAGAGTTTAATATTAAATAAATTTTATATTTATTTTGTATTTTAACAAAATTTTCTATATCAAATTACTTTAGCACTATAACATTATTTAATAAAGTATGTATCCAGAAATTCAAGTGCGAAATGAAATGCATTTCTAATGGAAAATTATTAACAAATTATAATACTCGAAAAAAAAGAAACATATATTATGTGTACCCTGAATCATAGCCATATTTTTGGTTAAATGGCTCCGATTTCTTCCTTGCACATTGTATGACCACGGCAAAGAGGAGGATAACGATGATTCCTCCTCCTACACCAGAAGCGATGATTGTCCACAATTTCCATGAATAAGCTTTATTTTTACAATCACTACCTGAATATGTAAACATATCATCTTCTTTGCACCTGAAAAAAAAACACTCTTTATAAAAATAACATGGCACAGATAACATTCTCTAAGTTGACAAGTACAATAATCCAATTTTGAGCTCAACTTTTTTTTGTAACAAATTTTCTCTAATTACATGTATGTAGCAATATATTGCTATAGCCTACATGTGATGTTTACATCTACCACCTTCTTCGATATCCAAAAGCATGATTCGAATACGATCAATTTTGAATCCAAAGCAGGTAAGGGCACTCTTTCATGATAAGATGATGTCATATGGCTTTCAAAAACCTTATTGAAATTCGGTATTTTGTAAATTCTATTGTCGTTATAATGATCTTGTTAGAAAAAAAGCTATCATTTGGTTGTATTATGCATAACATGTTTCATACTCAAATGTATAGTAAATTTATCTACAGAAAGGTAGGTCCACCTGATCAATACATTAGGCTCACGGGGGTGTATCTTATCAACAGCGGATGGTTACTCCGTCTAGGTACATAATACAACACCTGGAACTTCCAGGGGTCTGTGTTCTAAGCCATTACAATTTTGTATAGATTTTTGAAATAGACAACTAGCTGTTCGTTATCTTAACTTTTTTCATAAATATACAAAAATGTAGACTACTATGGCTTACTAACCTGCAACGGCCTAAATATTGATTGCCCTCGGCCTGTACATAGCATTCTCCATGTTCTGTTGAACAAGGACCATTTTTTAAGCAAGGGGACTTCAATGTGCAGTTGCTGCCGTTGTTCACGCAACTAAATCCTTTATTGTTTACGAGAGCATCCCGACATTTTTTTGAATTACACGCTGCTATGCTGGAGTAGGCTAAAGCTACAAGAAAATAAAATGCTGATTTTGTAAGGTGGAATGATTCAAAATCATCTTTAGAAATTACAAGTTCAAGATGGAATGGGTGCTAGGAAGACGTATATACACAATAAGAGAGGAATTAATTATCAAATTATGTACTTAAATACAAAACAAACATCTTAGAAATAAAATAAAGAGACATTTGCAAAACGAACTTTTACCAATGGAAAAGCAACAGTATACATTTATTGACTGAATTCGATTGCAGCATGCGTTTTGTCGGACCCAAGAACCAAATTGTCTGCCTGAGGCTGTTAGGCAAAACGCATTTTGCCCGAGTAAACCTCAGATCCGTCACTGTAAACATCAACAAATGCAAACGATATTATGCTCCGCCCATTCAAAACATTAGAAATGTTAGACGTTTTTCTGTACAGATTTGTATAGAAACAAATAAAAGACAAGATAGGATACGACCGTATTTGGCCGGCGATTTTGGATGTCTTTCAGAATGATCCAACAGTTATCCATAAAAACATGTTGTCAATCCTGCCTGAAAATAAGCATTGGCTCTAAGATTTAGAATATTATACAGAGGTCAGGAAATAGGTCAATTTTGGAATTTTGTAACTTTTATGCAAATTTTCATCGATTTTTCAGTACATTTATTTTTTGGAAAATATAGAACACAAGCTTGCCTGTCTACCAAGTTTATATATTTATACACTAGTATCACACTAGTATCAGATGCAATTTATGTGTAAAAATCTCAGATAGGCAAGCTTGTGCTCTATGTTTTCCGAAGAGTATCTCAAATATGATTAAATTCAACTAGAATTGAGGAAATTCTCAAAAATGTCCTACTTCTGCACCCTCTAGTGGCTTCCGTGCAAAATTAGTGCTTTTTTTAAAATAAGCATCATTTTAACTTCTCAACTACAAACTATCACAATTTTACCAGTGATCTGATTTTAACACAAATAAGGGACCAGATTCGGCCGTTAACCTATCTTGTCCTTTCTAAAGGTATTACAATATACATTAATTGACTGGGTTCGAGGGCAAAATGCGTTTTGTCGGACCCACGAACCAAACTGTCTGCCTGAGGCTGTAAGGGGTCTACGGGGTTTTGAGAAATGTGAGGATGAAATCTTTTTGACCTTTCGTTAAACTCAAGACCAAATCGTTAATCTGAAATTATATGAAGTAAATACATGTAATCTTTATATGATTTTACCGATATTTCAGCAGATCATATAGAAGTCTAAGTAATTTTTTTTAAACAAAATAATTAGCGTGTAAAATAATGAAGAACAAACAAATCAAAGAATTGTGGTCACCTGCTTTTGGTGTCTTAGAGGATGATATGCCATTATTTATGGAATATTGTGTCAAATATGTACTCCCTATTATATGTCATACCAAAGTAATAACCAATGGAAAAAAATTTAAAATTTGGTCAATCATGAAGGTCAACGGTAAGGGGAAAAAGATAGCATGCAGGAAACATCTTGTTACAGTGAAACATCTGAAGATAACGAACAGTATTCAAGAACAAAAGTTCACAAGACAATCCAAAAAAGGTGCAGAGCAAACACAGACCTCCAACACATCAGAGATGGGATCAGATGCCATGGAGGAGTGAGCATTCCGTGCCGACCGGTCACACCCTCCGTGAGCTTCTTGTGATGATCGAGAAGTAACAGTTCAATCGCTCGTCAATTTAGTGCATAAATAATGGACTTTAAATTAGTTTGAACAAGAGGCCCATGGGCCATATCGCTTCACCTGAGCACATGGGCTAGTTAAAAAACACAAATCAGCTTATTATTGAAAAGCTTACTTGTTGGGGGAGGGGGATTTGTTTTCTATTACTAACTTGAGAATGTCAATATATTAATAAAGCATACAAAAGTCCTGTATAATTTTGCCATACTTGAAAAGAAGATTTTTAAAGATTTTTTCCAACATATTACTCGATCTCCGATTGTGACCCCCCGTAAAAATTTGATCGGCCATTGTGGTCCGGCCCTACCCCCGGGGTCATGATTTGACCAAACTTGAATCTACACTACCCGAGGATGCTTCCACATGAGTTTTATCTTTCCTGGCCGAGAAGATTTTTAAATGAGACCATGATTTTTTCATTAATTCATGATTATCTCTCCTAGGAAGAGGGCTTGGCCCTTCATTTGAATAAACTTGAATCCCCTACACCCAAGAATTCTTTGTGGCAAGTTTGGTTAAAATTGGCACAGTGGTTCTTGAGAAGAAGTCGAAAATGTGAAGTTTACAGACAGATAGCTAGACGGACGGACAGACGGATTACAGACAAAATGTGATCAGAAAAGCTCACTTGAAAACTTGCTCACTCAGGTGAGCTAAAACGTCAGTTAAAAACGCATTAGACTCAATGATAAATTGTATTTTCTGATATGGTCATTGTAACGACCATAGAACTTACGAAATGATGAATTTAAACGAGACTGCTAATTTTCTTGTTTCATCAACTTGTTTGTCGATAATCTACCTCCTTTTAGAAATTATTCATACGTTTAGCACGCTCTTCTGTATCAAATTGACTGAGATATGAACATATGGAGATAACAAGCAGTTTTCAAGATCAAAAGTACATAAAAGAATACAAAACAGGAGCAGAACAAACAAGGACCTACAAAACATCAGAGGTGGGATCAGGTGCCATGGAGGAGTGAACATCCCCTGCCGACCGGTCACACCCTCCGAGTGCTCCTCTCATAATCGGGAAATAACGGGTCACTGTTTTGATCATAGAATTTATGAAATGATGACTTTAAACGAAACTGCTGATATTCTTGTTTCATCAACTTGTTTGTCAATAATTTACATCGTTTAGAAATTGTTCACACGTAGAGCATTTACCTCGTTTTAGAAATTGTTCACACGTAGACGATGCTTTTGCGTATCGAATGAGATATATAAACTTCCTATGCAGGTGATGAAGGTATATTTCTGCATAAGTAAGGGAAGTTGACGACAGAAAAGTTATGACCATCATATAAACTCTGTTTGCAGGTGATGAAGGTATATTGCTGCACAAGTAATTTGGAAATTGACAATAGATTAGATCTTGGTTGTTAGATTACCATTTACGTCTTTTTCCATGCAATGATCATGTCAAATATGAAAGCCATATCAACTGTCTTTCAAAAGTTATGACGAAAGATAACAGTTTTTAAAAGTAGGTCAAATTTAAAGATGAAAGTCAAAGGGTAAAACGTTCCGTGGGGACCCGGGTAAGAATAGGTCCTCAGTACCCCCTTGCTTGTCGTATAAGGCGAGTAAATGGGGCGGTCCTTCGGATGAGACCGTATAAACCGAGGCGGTGTGGCAGGATAAAGATCCCTCCCTGCTCAAAGGCCATAAGTGCCGAGCATAGGCCCAAATTTCCAGCCCTTCACCGGCAATGGTGACGTCTTTATATCAGTGAAATATTCTGGAGAGGGACGTTAAACAGTATACAATCAATCAATCAATCAAAGGGTAAAACAATAAAAAAGTATTTAGAAAGAACTTTTCACAGGTAATACACATATGTAATGTGAAGGCTCTACCCTTTTTCTTTCAATACTTATTGCAAATATAAAGCAATGGTAAAGGCCACGAGATCAAAAATCATAGTTTATTCGAAAGAGTCTTCTCACAAATAATGCACATGTAAAATATGAAAGACCTATCTCTCCTCATTCAAAAAGTTATGACTAAGGTAAAAGTTTTTGTGACAGCCGGACAGACCGAAGAGCGGACAGACGAATGATATTTAATGTCCCTCCGCTTTTACATAAGCGGGGGACAAAAATTTCTTCTTTTATTTTTCTCCATTCCCTTTGGTATGCCAACATCGTTTTCAATATTAGGATATAATCATGACTCTAAATGATATTGTCAGATAATCATTGAACCTACTAATAATTCAGATTACGTCTGCTCTTTCTTGCCATCACCAACCAACAATATACATTATATTGACTTATTGAATGCATCGACGATCGTTCGTTTTGCTTTTGAGTCTGCTGTTTGCTTAAATTATAGTCTGTATTGCATTTCAAATTTATTAATAGGGAAAATACTGTAAAAGCATTACATTTAGCGGTGTATTCTATATAAGGAATGAAGCTTATTTCAACTTATGTTATACTACACAACATAACTTGGGCCAGTTTACGCTTTATAAACCGCAAAGCGGTTTATAAAAAAAACGTAAACTGCCCAAAGTTATGTTATATCGTATAACATAAGTTAAATAACCTTCATTCCTTATAATTTAATTTCAGTGTAGACAGTGAGACAATTTTTCCTCCGGAAAAATTCAAATATAGCATATTTTAAAAGTGACGTCAAGCGGAGTAATACGTTTTTTGAAGTAACTCATTGTGACGTAGGCAAGTTATGTTATACAAAATATGATATGTTCCTCGGAATGATTCAGTCAATGAAATTGCTTGATACGAGTGAAATTGAATTATTTAGCGATTTTTGCGGAAAGCAAGAGTCCGCAAATTCAAGTGCGTCGCTAAATGTCTTGTATATTAACTTTTATAACTAGAAAATTCAGACGGCGCTTAATCAAATCTACGCTTACTTGTTGAAAATTGAATTTCCGCCAAATATCGCACTAATAATGCGTAGACGTCTTTATACGCTTCCTTGAAAATTGAACGTTGGAAAGTTAAACAGTTTTTAAAATGATACCTTAATGTTCAATTTCATTACTAATATACAAGTGAGTCGTGTTTACATTTAACTGATTATATCTTTTATATGATCACTTAAGGAATGTTTATAATCATACAAAGTTGTCAGGTAGGCATATTTCATGAAGCGCTAGCGCGCTCTGTGTAATTTACACACAAATAATTCACATTAAGCTTAAAAAAAATCCTTATATAAATTTTAATTGTTAAAAAGAACCAAAGAATTGCTTGCATGTTTGATTTACTCCCTGGCCTATATCTGTAGATTCATTAGGAAGTTATTTTAGCGCGATTTTCTACATGTACGTGTATGTAAACACGAAAATGGCATTCAAATTATTTTCACAGTTGATTTAGTACAAAATCAGAGCAAAGTAAATATTTATCATTATAAGCAAAGAACACATAGTGATTATGCAAAAAAGAAATTTCAGAAAAGATTTTAGAAATATCGTTTATACCTAGCTCGGCTATGAGTACAGATCCAGTGCTGTTAATTGTAGTTGTGATGTTCTCTATTGTCTCATTTTTAATTATTTCCCTTCCAAGTAGACTGGACGCCAGCACATCCACATGAAATATTACATGATAACTGAAATGCACATTGATAATTTACATGTATATAATGCAATATTGTGGAATTATTTTTATTTTAGCCAAACATCTTATTTAAAGTTGAACTTTAGTGTGTATCTTACTCAGGTGCCTACAATTCATTTTTATAAAATTTGAAATAAAACAAAATAAGATACCTTGTGTCATTGCCACAACTGAAAGTAAATGATAAAAAAATATATGTGTATCAAATTTGACATTTAAAGAGCATCGTTAGTGACTACAAAATGAAGAATAAATTATGTATCCACCCAAAGATAATTATAAATACATGTATCAGAAATGTAAACTACCAGAAAATTTTCCTTTTTATTTAGATTGAGAAATATCTCACCTGTCATCCGATTCGGTGGCTACCGATTTACAGGTATCAAGTTTCAGAATCTCGAAAATTATCTGATAAAAAGATAAGTTGAAATAATATAGTATTGCAGCAGAACTTACATTATAAACTCTTCAAAATGCATCATGATTGCAAAATTATATTTGTTATTTATTGTTTATTTTATGAGGGTAATATCAAAAATCCATATATTACAGGTCCTTGTTGACAGCCCCTGCCCTCCTTTAAAACACGCAACCAAGGTCCAAGGGTATTTTCATGAACTAGTATTCCTTCATAAATTATAAATTGTGCTAGAAGAAAATTGTCCTCTACAAAAATTTGAATTTTTCCATTGAAAATTCACATTTTTATAGAGGACAATATTTTAAGAAAGTAGAAAACGAAAAATGTCCTTGGATCTAAGATGTATATCTTCGGGGTGGGGGTATTTGAAGCAGTTTACTAACAATATTTTAATTCTTACATCTGCAAGGTCTTTATTTTCTTTCAAGCAATCTTTGAATGTCACTTTGATTGACACTGGTATTAAGGAATTACCTAAAATAATACTTAAAATTATATAAAATTATCAATTCTTGATTTATATGATAAAAATTGCCAGTAATTATATAAAAGTAAATCAAATACTTAAATTGCAATAAATGTGTTGCTAGTTTAGTTAATGCATACAAATGACGATTTAATACTCTTATGTATCTTACGACTGTTATCACTGGAAATGTCTATGTCTATCCGATGAAACTTTTTGTTGAATATTATTTTGAGTCTTTAATTTTGAATTAAAGAGTCCCCGAGTTGCAATAGATATAATCTGGTATACAAGTAAAAAAACTAATACATCTGAAAATTAATATTTACTTGTTACATTATTAAGAATTAGCAATTTATGATAAAAGGCTTATACCTGCATACAGGGATTTTGCTTCTGTAATATTATACGGTGGTGTTGTTTGATGTGATGTTGGGGTTGTTATTGTCTGGGGTAATGCAGTTGACGATGTTGAAGTTATTTCCTCCGTAGTGATCTCTTCCATTAATTCTCCTGTTGTCATGTTTGTTGTAGTTGGGATACTAGTAGTTGGTTCAGCATTACTTGATGAAGAAGTAGAATCAGATGAAGGTGATGCCCCTGATGACTGAATGACTGTTGGTGTTACAGAATTACTTGATGAAGAAGGAGATGAAGATGATGCCCCTGATGACTGAATGACTGTTGGTGTTACAGAATTGCTTGATGAAGAAGTAGATAAAGATGATGCCCCTGATGACTGAATGACTGTTGGTGTTACAGAATTGCTTGATGAAGAAGTAGATGAAGATGATGCCTCTGATGATTGAATGAATGTTGGTGTTACAGAATTACTTGATGAAGAAGTAAATGAAGATGATGCCCCAGTGACTGTTGTTGATACGCCACTTAAATTGGTTGCTTCTTCCGTTGTCGCTGTCCCCGATGGTTCCAAGGCTGTTGATGAACCACTTGTTTGTGGTGGAACAGACGAAGTATTCGTAGTCGACTCAGGTGATGTGGGTGATGTGCTGATAGCCACCTGAGATGATGTAACAGAGGGTGTAGTTGAATTTTCATCTGTCGAGGAATCGGATGATATCGTTGTTGTTGCATCTGTTGATATCATTGTGTCAGCTAATTGGGTAGTTGACGATACTGATGTCGTTGTGCTTTCTGTTATCACTGTTTCCGATGTCTCTGATGTTGTTCCGTCCCTGGTTGCGATTGACATTGGTTGCGTTGAGACAGAACTATTTGGGGTATGTGGATCAGTCGAAGTGGTTGCTGTCGAGGAATACATATTCCCCAGAATAATCACAAACGTGACGATAAATATGAACCTCATCTGTAAAATTCAATGAGACACTCGGGCTCATAAAAAACATTGATTAACAGGGAACTTTTTCCCCTGCATCCCCCCACTTCCCCTTTTACAGGTTTAAAACTTTAAACTTTTCTTTTAACAAATTGAAGTAATTATTAACTAGAAATTAAGACGTGTGTGTTTAAAAATAAAGGCAGTTGTAAATTTAGGTCAGTTAAAAGTACTAATAACATTCTCTTTCGATCAACTTGAACTATTGATTATCTAGTATAGGTAATAGATTGTTCAAATAGACGAGTACAATAAACGGATGATAAACTTTACATAAGGTGAATTTTCCAATCCAGTGCAATGGTTTATCTGAAATTCAAATAATCCATAAAATTTTGATCAAATGAAAAAAAGTCCACCTCTTTTGTTTTAATCTTTTCGTGCTTGCGTTTATGATATGTACAACCAAGAATATACATGTACATAAAAACAATACAGGTAGATGTCAGATGCGTCTGTCTTGTATAGTTTATTCAAAAATTTATGGGTAAACATTGTACTTTCACATAAGCACTAAAGTAATTAATACTTTTAATTCAAGTGAATTGGTAATTATATGGTTGAAGTTTTACAAATAACACAAGGATAATCAATTCCGCAGATATCTTAATTAAATAAGGACACATTACTATTTGTACTCCTATTTGATTATAGATAATCAGTTGAACTCTGATTCGTTAGCCAGTTATCCTTATCCGAAGTTTATAAAAATAAATTTTAGATTTCATATAAAATCAGATACAGCAATGAATTCAATAAATAACTTACTTCGCAAACTGTGTAAAAATGCCTCTCGTATTTGCTGCACTATTTCTTTTACCCAAACAAGGACGTTTATTGCGATACACGCTCTCCCGATAACTTTTCACTCCCGGCAGATTTATTACCCGTTTTCGGGCGTGTCTGCTATCATGCAGCGCTGAAGAGAGCAATTGTCAACACGGAATTAGGGTTGTAAACTACAAAACAAGCGAATCAAATCTGTATGGGTTATTTTTTTTTCGAATTTCCTCAAAACTCTTTCCTCCTTATTTAACATAATGAAAAAATCATTTTTTGTATAGAGTTTATAAAGTTCTTCTTAAAATAGAAATTGCATAAGACAATGATAAACCTGGTATTTAATACTGCGTTGATCTGGGTGTGAGAGAAGGGCACGCCGGGACTCTGATAACATTCACAATCTATGAATGATTCATATTGTCACCATATACGCACTTCTAAGGGGTACTAAATCTGTCGACTTCAAAGTCACTTAGACTTAACAAATGCTTTCTACCAATCAATACACTTCCTAAAAAATACCCCCTGATGCATATGATTACATTTTAAAATATTCGTATGAAATAAGTGCATTTATTTTTCCTGTACGGGCTTGACTATTGTTTTAACACGTACAGGTAGAGTGATACTCCTGCATTCTCAGCATCTCTTGATATCTTTGTCGATTCCCATTTGGTAACCTGCTAAGACATCTCTGGACAACTAACTACATCCTTGGAAATTCCGTTACATTGTATACACTCATCCTCATTACAATACACCACTCAATATCCTTCATGTATGTGTATATGTTTTGCAATATCTAACTATCATCTCAAATTTTAATAGGAATAAATGAAGCTTGAAAATACAGGAAGGGAATATAAACTATCCAAATATAGACGCGGGTTTCCGCATACATATTTTAGCATTTTATTATTAATTTAATAGATTTCTTGTATTGATATTACACTGTACAAGAATGTTTATATTGATCAAACACATCAATTTTTACTTCACTTTTTTGCATTGGATGTAACTATGATTACACTGTACAAGAATGTTTATATTGATCAAACACATCAATTTTTACCAATTTTTTGTTGGAGCATTTACTATATATGATTTGGTATGTGAATTAATTTACAGCTGAAATATTTTTTTAAATAATATATTCCTTACCTGAAAGCTGAATTTGCCTTGTGAGATATCTGAAAATATGCAATGCTTCACGGAAATACAGGTGAATATTTTAGCAACCAAGGTGTGGTCGAGCTTTTCTTTTTTTCGGGGCTTTCCAATGAATTATCTAAAACCCGGTAACAATATTGGGTGTGTTTATTACCGGTACTTTAAATATCCTCATACGAAAGAGGTTTTTATCTATTAAGCTTAAATTTATGCCACTTTGAAATTCAGTAACTATGTCCAAGTCGCAAACATAGTTCAGCTATGAAATTGTATGACAATATGAGCACTTAAACGTTTGGTGTCTTGCGAATACTAGTAATCCATTTCTCTAAATACGTATCTTGATTCTAATGACAGTCACACTGATAGTAAATACATGTAGATATAAACAAGGTGATCGTTAACAACACAATTAAATTAGGATTTGATCTGAGCAAATATTTAGAAAAATTCATAAAAAAAAGTTCTTTGGTCCTTGAAAGTTTTTACAACTACAGGAAATATGCTTTTTTGAGAAGCATGGATTTTCCAAGCAATTTTTTTCTACATTGAAACATGGAAATAAGACACATGATTTTGAATAAGTTACAACTTAAATTAATTTTTTAGTGGAGCTATTATATCCACACAAAAAAATCAGTATGATTAGCCAAAAAGTTAAAAATATTTGTAAAATGAAATAACCTGTTTTTTTTACAACCTAGTGGTTTTTACAACAGCAATAAAAAAAAAACAAGAGTTTACGAACACTAACAAAATTAAAGATTGTTATATATATTACAAAAAACTAAATATCCGTGGTATGAAAGTTAAGATCTATAGCAAATAAAAAGGAAGTTTACTACACAACATCTTTCCTTTTTTCAGCATTGATCATGATTGATGTATAAAAACGCCTCTGATAACCGTGCGGGTACATGTATTAACCCCATACATTCCTTTATCGGAATACTAGTATCTTTTATATATATACACATAGTGTACTGGTTTTGTGTGTGTCTACCCATTTCTCTTTTAAATACTACTAAAATAACATTGCGCACATTGTTTTAGCATATTTAAACTAAATCAGTATTTGTTAAAAGTACAAAGTTTATAATTACATACATCAAACTAGAGGTACTGTGAGCACTAAGCTCACTGAATGAATGGCAAAGTTATGTCAAATGATTTGTTATCTCAGATGACTTATTTGACATAACAAATGCGTTATAAATATATTGATACATGTAGTTAAAAGAAATATTTTGCTATTTAAATAAAAGAAGGTGAAAGGTACCGGGGCAGTGTTTTAGTTTGCTCTTAGCTGAACAAAGCTAAAGGAACATGACATAGAATATAGTTGTATTTTCAAAGTCTAAATTGAAATCATATTAAATATTCTCTTACAGTAAACAGTTATTCTCGGGTAAATATGTCGTAAATACTTTAAATTTCCAAAATAAAACGAAAAATAAAATTTCCTTGCAAAAAAGCCCATTTTTATTTGTACTATCATTTACAAAGCCCTCATTCACAAAAGACAGCATACACTTGTTTTTAAAATGCAGTATCGTATAAAATTCTAATCACAATAATTTTTTATTGTTTACGAAACTTCAGATCATACCCTAGCTTATCGTTACATATTCATGTAAGTTTCAAATGCTATTAGCCATGTTTTATAGCAATTTAAATAGTGCTGATTTCAGAATTAATTTCCTGAAAATGGAACTTTGCATGAAAATTACCTTCAAAATGTTCAAAATGAAATCTTCACTGTCTCAAAAATGAAACAAAAAATATTAAGTTTTTTGTTTTATTTGATTATTATTTTTTTTTTTTTTGGTGTATTTTTTTTTCAACAAAACACACAGAGAGAAGACACATGCAGCCTTATTATATTGTACTTGAAAACGACTTATCAAAGTTTTTAATTTAAAGGGTGCCGTGGTATATGTTTATAAAATTTTATCTGACTTTATTTTCAAGTTGCCAAATCCCCTTCGTATTATATGAAAAAAAGCTTTTTTGCAAATAAAATTTTGCATGTATTTTATTCATTGTTTCCTTGTCTTACTTTGAACAAATTTCCTTATTTTTTAATATTGAAAAAGCAACGCTAATGAAAATTGGTTGCTTCTAAAAATGTAAACAATGTAGATCTAAAAACATTGTTTTACACATAGACATCGTCGTCCGCGTGGTGCAGTGGTTAGAGCGTCTGCTCTAGAGTCGCGAACTAAGGAGTCAATCCTTACGTTGCGGGTTCGAATCCCGCTATGGGACTTGGAGACCGGTCCTTCGGGTCAGACTGTATAAACACCGTGGTATAAACCGAAGTCCTCTGTCGCAGTAGTGCTATTACGAAAATGATCCCTAACTGCTCAATGGCCCTGAGTGTCGAGTAGCTCTCCTCAGGAAATTCGAAAAGTGGAATTAGGTGCCGAGGAAGACTAAGCATATCTTTCGGCCGTTCACGCCCTCTTTGGGTCCTATATATTGATCAAGTAGACAGATATTCTGCATTCAGGTTATTTGCCTACATATGACGATTTGTATGAAATATGTCAATCAAAAAAATGATCACTATGAAATTTGTATTTGTTTCCAACGTACACGTGTTCAAAACGATAATTGTCAACATTCATTTTTCGTTTTTCTCTCGCTACAGCCATGCATTTTTTTTTTCAATGTATAAACACGTAAGTTAATCGCGATAACAGTTTTTATTAAATTTCTATTTCATATTTAATAGATGCAAATACGTATACCTTTTTAAAGGAATATCATGGGAGAGGAATATCCAAATATGTATACTTTTTTAAATGAATATCATGGGAGAGGAATATCCAACTTTTTGTAACTTGTTCAATCCCCTTGCCGTATTGTTAATAAAATATGTTCTAAACAATAGATATTTTATCAATTAACATTTGTTATGCAACTTATATCCATTTTTATTCGCATAGTAGACTTACAAAAAAAAGAAACAGAGTATTTTTTAACAGAACACCATACAAATAGAACATTGAAGAGAAAATGAATTACCTGTAATATAAGATTTTTTTAAATTTTAAAACAAATAATGGTTAGATTACAATCAAGGTACTTCGTGGTTCAGTTTAAAGATAATTCTGTACAGTACATTGTATTTGTCTAACATAATTCAACTGATATCATAAACATAAAAAAAAAATGCTTTAAACATATATATCAGGTATTTAAATGAGTACTTCTTTTGATTTCTTCAGCCATTGACTTCAATTTTATTTTATCTACCTAATAAAAAAACAAAATAATAATCGTTTACATGTCATTTTATTTATTTATTTCTCCAAAATATATTCTTAATCGAAATTGAAAGGGGACCAGTAGTTCGAAGATTAGAAACATCAAGGATCTTTTCCCTTTTTTTTTTTTTTTTTTTTTTTTTTTTAACAAAAATAACACACTTCTAATTTCCGCAATTGTATTTAACATGTTTAATAAGAGTTAATATCATTCACTTCATTAAGTATGTTAGAATATTGAATATTTGCATGTGTGTTTTTAAAAATATGTTAAAAATCCGAAGATGATTATAATTTTATTAATCTTTTTATATTGTTTATGAATCATTTTCAAAATAAAAGCTTTTGTCTGCTGTCGTTAAATCGACATTATTGACCTGACCTTATGGCGTGAACCAATTCGTGGAAGATTTTGCACGGGAATAAAATAGTCAGCACACATGGTCTCATCCACCAGCTTAAAAAAAGAGTCTTTATACAGGAAAAAAATCATTTTTAAATCTGAATTTTTCAATTTGGTTTTTAAAACATCTTACACTCAGCAACATGTGTTTCCTTATATTGCCTGGAGTAGCTGTAGACCCCTCTCTTAATCTGTAACAAAATACATTCAAGACGATAAAAACTTTGTGGAATACTATAACAGAATCTGTTCCATTATTGAAAATACTGATATTGAGCAAATAATAAAGTATTACAAATAATTGAATAATTTTGTAAAACAACAAATATCATGTAACATTATATAAATATTGCATGTAGTTGAGTGTAACATTGAAAAGAACAAGAGCCACGAAGCATCAAAATCCGCACCGTATTAAAAATTTATGAATTTTTGTTAAATGATAGTCTAGTATGTGTACGTTGTAAAACAGTTTATTTTTTAACAAAATCACTTATAGTTTTCTTTTTACAGGTGTTTAAAATAAGCATTGTTTTTTCGAAAGAAACACTACGACGTCATGACGTTGACGTTGAACACGTTAAAATCATGACGTTGCAATTATTTATAAGGGGTAACAAATTTACACTGATGGAAAATACTCCACAAGAGAAGGATTAGAATTAATATTGAATATTTTATCGAGTGTTTTAGGGGTTATGGGGTGGGTTGGTTTTGTTTTGTTATAAAAACAAGAAAGTGCACGTGAACTAAGCTGAATTTTGCCGATATACTGAATACTATAGAAAACATAAGTAGTATATGCTTGCGTCCCTTCAATAATACGTCTGATTACTTTTTTGGCTTTTCAAGGATATTTTGGTAGTCGATAGTGACCCCAGCTGAAAAATGTGACTGTGTCCCTCCCCTCCCCCATTACTGAAATTACTTCCTGCAGGCCCGAACTAAGAAGAATTCTACTTGGATCCTGTCTCCTGATATACAATACATACGGACAAACATCTCCTGGTAGTATAGAATGATGCTATCAATACAGACCATTGAAAAGATTTCATACATGTCTTTACATGCAGTTGAAAAATGTTAGAGTTTGTTTATTGCATTCTACATTTTAGCTTGTTATTTAAAGCTCTAAAAGGCCCCATATATATGTACAAGAATTATTGCCGTCGAACCAAATACCAAGGGCAATTCCATGTACGTGCATCAGTGTTCAATTCTGTCCAGACCCTCTCCCTCCCCTGGAATTTGCAAAGTTGATAAATATATATACTAAGCCAATGAAAATTGACCTTAGACCCCTCCCTAAAAATGCAGATCCCTCATTGAAAATGTGATTTATGTGAAATTGGTAGTAAAAGTCATAGATATGAAGCTTTAAAAGTCAACGACTAAACCCCCCCCCTAAAAAAAACACACACGTTTTTTTTTTTTAGCTTTTCAAGAAATTTCCAGCTTGGAAAAATACTTTTTTAATTCGACCGGGGTTCCCACTCCCGGAAAATTTTCCTGGATCGGTACATGCATTATCATAAATAATATGATGTAATCCCTCTTAAGATTTGTACATAATTCTTGTAACCCGGATGCATGCGCGAATCTAGAGTGTTGGGGTGGGGGGTTGGGTCAAGACCCCCCCCCGGAATATTCAAGGTTATTAAATGTATATATACTAAATCAAGAAAAAAAAGTTACTCTGGACCCCCCCCCTCTGGAAACGCAGACCCCCCCCTCAAGGTAAACACGAATTTGTGTGAAATGGGTATGAAAAGTGAAGGATTTCAGGCAATAATCCCCCCTCCACCACCAAATAGGTTTTTGACGTTTGAGTGAGTTTATTTATTTATTTATTTTCATTTTTGCTTAAGAATTTCTGCTTTAGATTTTTTTTGACGGGGGTGGACCCCCCCCCCCCCCCCCCCCCCCCCCCCCCCCCCCGCCCCTTCCCTGGAAATAATTTCTGAATTTGCGGATTTACGTTATCAGTTTCAAATTGTAAGTATTCATTTATTTCCATACGAGTTTTACTTGACAAGTATTTTAATTAAATCACTGCACCGGATATTACAAACACATGACTAAAAAATACGCGAAAACTGGGGAATTCCCTATCTTGCTTAACAGTCGACTTTTAAAAAAAAAAAAAGTTTTTTACAGATTAGTTATATTTGAGCAGACCTTTACGTATCCGACTTTGAACTCGAACTAGAATATGAAATTAATGAACTCGTATTATGAAATTAATATATATTATAGTATATGAAATTAATGAAAACTAAAAGGGAAAAAAGTAAATTACATGTTGAGCAGTTTATTAACGCAGTTTATTAACGCATCCTACTTTTTAATTTTAAAAATATCTCCATGGTCAATTCTGTATCACATCCTGTATATATATTTAAATCTGGCCGAGATCCCCAATATTAAATTTCAAAGATATTGTAACTGTTGTGCATTAGATATTTACAATGATAGAAGGAGAGCGGACTCTGAACAGATTGATAGGGTGAACAGACCAAATACCATATATGCATGAGTCCGAGGGAGGGAGGCCCCAGGCCTAATATTGTTCGAGGTTTGATATGGGTTGTGATATAAAATTTGACACATATTATTCTATTGATTTTAAATTTGACTAGAGGTACTGTGAGCGATGAGCTAACTAAATGATACCCCCCGCCTCCCATATGTGTATAAATGGCAGTGTCCATGTTTTGCTTTTGGAAACCCAAAATATGTGTCGGATCAAAAAGTAAAATAGGAGGTGCACAATGCCAATATGTAATAAAGATTCTGTGAAAGTTTCACCAAATTTCATTCCATGGTATGAGAGGAGTTGCGGATAAGAGATGGTTATCCCAAAGCGTAACAGACGGACGGACGGACGGACGGAATTAACGATTACTATATACCGTCCCGCTTTTCAAGCGGGGGGATAAAAATACGTATACATGTATATCATCATAAATATTATTCCGAATATGTGCACTTTTGATAATTAAGCATCTGCATGCTTGAGTTTTTGTTTGCATGAAATCATTTATATGCAATTCATTTACTAAATATGTGATAAAAAATAAAAGAATTTGACATTTTTACAACGATATTTTTGGGATATTTCATGTTTTAAGCAGTTGACAATATGAATGGTCCAAGGTGAAAGTGGGTATTCTTTCTTCTTTCTTGGTTTTGAAGGATAAGTTTTTTTTTTTTGCCAACCTTACCCCTCTTATTTAAAAACGACTTATTGCTAAACTTGAGAGCAAGTTGTCATCTAAAGAAGATACAGAGACTATTTTTAAAAATCATATTACTTAGGAATGATATTAATATTTTTCATTTTAATCCCAGGTGAAAATAGCGTTGTTTCGAGAGAGAAAAAAATTGAACATGCATACTCATGACGGTAGCACTTTTTACATGTCCTAATGCATTGTGCGGTTGCCTCTCGTAAATTGTATACTAGTATGTAGAATTGATTATGTGTTCGTTCATTTATTCAATAAAAACAAAACACTTTTAAATAGAACCTTTAAAATCTGAAGTCCCCCACTCTAGATCGGCGCAGATACATGTACAGAAGGTTCAATAATTCGTCACATGTATCATGAGGTGTAGGTTCTTGAAATGTTTTCAATTATAAACATCATAGAGAAATGTCAAATACATTCTTGGTAATTTTTAAAACGCTAAAATTGGTATGCTCCTGTTTTTTTATTTAGCCATGCAATTTATAATACCGGTATTTGTTATGTTAGCGATGCAGATGTCATGAAATTATTTATATTAATCACCAAACATTTAATTTCAATTGATTTATTGAACCTTTCTGCTGGTAGTTTTATCTGTTGTGGGCTGTTACAGGAGTAATCTCCCTTTGATTTTATAGGGACCAATGCAACGAGACGTTGTGATCGAGTTGTAAACAGGAATTCACACAAAAAAATACAAATGGAGTATACATTATTTAAAAAAACAACATATTATAAATATAATAAATTGAATTTAAATCAGCTCTGTCAAGAAAAAGTCTTGGGTCAGAACCACGGTATGGGTACAAAGAAGTCGACAATACTACATGCTGTAATATTTTGTGAAGCACATGGTTTTCGTTTTCCTTTTTCCTACCAAAACACAAAATCCAATAAACAAGACAATTCATTTTGATACATTTTAAAGTAGAAAGCAAATACATTATTATTTTTGATATAATCATGAGTTATTAGGTCTTTCCACCTTTCTGTGGAAAGACCTTTTGAAATGCTTATGCTTTTTATTATTCTATTTCTCACCTTACGTTTTGACACCGTAAGACTTATCGAAAAACTTTATAGTTTATGATACTGGATATTTAAAGTTATTCCGAAAAATGACCCCCCATGTTTTAACTTAGACCCCTTATGTAGTTATTGCCCCTTTCACCGAAAAGCTTGTTATCGCTACTCCTCCGAAACCGTAAATCGTAGAGATAAAGAACCTTCACTAACGTCTTCAACTAATTCAGGAGACTTTTCAATCTATTCATTGCAAAAGTTTTCTTTGAGCCCTTCAATGAGTAACTGCCCCTGAAAGTTTATGAATTTTATAAAAAGCTAAAAATTTTTAAAACGAGAAGTCATAGAGACACGAAACCAACTGCATATGTTTCATTGACCTTTGACCTTCAAATTCATTTCAAGGTCAAAAGTCAAGGTCATTCCAAATATAAGGAATAAATTTCTTTTGATAGCTCTTATATCCTTTAACATATACAATCTATCTTCTCTCTGTGATATGCACTCTTAATACTCTTTCAAGGATTTCATTCTTGTCCCCTAAGATTGACCCTTTTTAAAATTATTGCCCCTTGTGCAAAAAACCTTGTTATCGCTACTCCTCGGAAACCATAGACCGTAGAGACACCAAATCTTCACTAATGTCTTAAGGGTCTTCAGGCCTAACTTCATTGCATAAGTGCGAAAGGATCTGATGACCGCTTATATGAGTTATTCCCCTTTAACGTCTTTGTTCTTACTATTAAACCTTATACAGTGAAACTTCTCCAAACCGGCCCCCCTGGAAACCGGTTCTCCCTGAACATCGGCCAAATTTAAAAGTCCCGGCAAAATTCTTACCATTTCTTTACACATAAACTCTCATAAAACCGGCCACCTCCGAAAACCGGACACCGGCCACTTTTCCAAGAACGAAAGTTAAAAAACATAGGAAATTTCCCCTCATCATACCGGCCACTTTTTGATTGCAAGAAATTTAACTGTCATTGGCTAGAAGGGTAATAATGACCGGCCGGAGGTGTGAAAATAACCTACCCACAAGTAGTCAAAGGTGTGAAAAACTGAATATGGCCTCATAGGGTTTTCTATTGTTTAGCCATCTTGAAGGGATAGTTATCGTGCCAGACTAGGCAAATGGCCGGTCAAAGCTGTGTACATATGATTTACATCAATTAAAACTTGAATTAATAAAACATCAAGCAACTAATAAATTCAAATCACATAATGAATCAACAAATTATCGCAAGCCATATTGCATCATCTTTTTAAATACACATTCGAATCCCGCTCGGGGCGTTCCCCAAATTTTTTCTTTGTTTTTGTCTTTTTTTCAGTTGCAAATTACTTTTCACTCTTTTATAAGATGTGTGGAAGATTTTGCCGATTTTTAAAAGCTATATTTGGAGATATTTTGTGAAATACCTGGAACAATCACGATCTGTGTTGAGAAACTACTGCAAATGAACGTAAACCAAAAAAATACATTATAAAATCTATTTCATTGGATGACGCGGACTAGATTGCAAAAGAGAAGTCGGTCGGAAGACCTACTTGTTGCACCAGCAACAAGAACGCATCTAGTTATTTTTCTCTTTTACCTCAGTTAAAATTTCCCCAAAAACGTAGGCCGATTTTGCACCTTCGTGGCTTTACTTCTTTTTACCCCAAGAAAACCATTGTCAACCTTGGCGCATTGAAAATTTGCACCCCAAGAAAACCATTGTCAACCGAGGCGAATTTTTCACCCCAAGAAAATCATTGTCAACCGAGGCGCAGCCGAGGTTGACAATGATTTTCTTGGGGTGAAAATTTTCAATATTATACTTTCATGTAAATTACTTGAATCTCATTCGTCGAAAAACATTTGTTAAAAAACACTATTACCCGCTGAATAATGAAACCACACCCTCCTGCGTAGCAACAGTCAACATTACTTGACGGGTGATATTAAAATAAAAATAGTGACTGCGCAGAATTTATGCGCGCACGGTTCACTGTTATATGTATTTGTATAAAACATTCACATATTATAATAAATATTGCATGTAGTTGAGTGTAACATTGAAAATTTTCACCCCAAGAAAACCATTGTCAACTGAGGCACAGCAATATTTATGTAATGTTACACTCAACTACATGCAATATTTGTTATATTATACTGAATGTTTTTTACAAATACATATAACAGTGAACAGTGCGCGCATAAATTCTGCGCAGTCGCTACTTTTTGGAATATCACCCGTCGTCAAGCGATGTTGACTGTTGCTACGCTGGAAGGCGTGACTTCATTATTCAGCGGGTAATAGTGTTTTTAACAAATGTTTCTCAACCAATCAGATTCATCTTATTTACATGAAAGTATAGTAATATAATACTTAAAATCAACTTCATCTATCTTCGATTAAAAATGTTTCTATTAATGCTCATATTTGGGTTTCGACTTTTACTTCGGAAAGATAATTACAGGAAGTAAACCGTAAACAGGCTTTGATTCATTTAAATAAACAGGAAATCATTTGTCAAATTCTCAGTTTTTAAATAAGGAAAAAAAATTCAAAATGATGGCTAAATGGAAATAAATCATTTAAAGTTATTATCACTTTTAAATGTAATATTAATTAGCATACTCACATGTAAAATATAAAAATATCATCCCCCTTTTCATCGCTTTGAATACCAACAACCTAATTATAAAAAAAATAATTGAAAATAACATATAATGTATAGGAAAGTTTTTTAGAAAATGGTTGTGGTCATCATTAAAATAAGGCTAAATATTTAGTAAGATATAATGTTCGCTTCTAACAGGCTTTTTCTTTTTGTTTACCTTAGCCAACCTTGATATTATTCAAAATTTCTCTGGCTATCAAATATAATCTCAATATCTACACTTTTAAAAATTAAAATTATGAATTTTTATTCCAGAAATAAACTTACCGCTGATTCTAAGACATCTGAATGGGCAGAAATGATATCAGTCAGTTGTTTCGGATAAATTTTAATTCCGGCATGTTTGAAAAACAAGCAGTCAGATTTCCGACTAATGTAGGTCACGTGTCCTGTTTCATCCATACTACCAACATCTCTTTTATAAATCAAACAAGAGAGTGAACTAAATTTTATAACAGTTTGTCTTCATGAAATTAATAACATTAAAGGAATAAGCCGACTCTAAAATCTTATCTTGAGAGAGAGAGAGATAGAGAGAGAGATACCCCGTATGCAACCATCCCTGTTTGTCCAAGGGACCTGTCTCTGACTTCTCGTTGTTTAAATATCCATAAAATATACCAAAGCCCTTTATACAAATTTCACCAGGCATGTTGATTGGGAGTATTTCATCCTTTTCGTCTGTAATTTTTACCTGTCAATCATGGTTTTATACACACTTAACAGTACTGTAACTTAAATTGAAATACAAAGAATTTCCTTTGTATTAATTCAATAAATAAAAATTAGTGTTTAAATGAATAAGCAACCTCTGTGTGTGGAAATGGGTATCCTATGGAGTCCAGGCGTTGTTCCAGAGAGGAGAGGACAGGAGAAGTAGCCGTTCCTACTAAACACTCGCTAGCACCGTAAATAACCTTTCCAATAATACAAGTCTTCTTACTGATTACATTAAATTTATCACTTAAAGTGTAAGAAATTATCCTTTTAGAAAAAAAATAGTCCTTCCTGAGTTCAGGCTCATTACAAACTTACCGACGAACTTGGAAAATGTTTATAAATTGTCTCTCGCATTTCCTTGGATACTATTTGCGACACAAGAATGACTAAAAATGGGAAAAATCCATATTAAAAGAAACAAATGTAAATGTGTACTATTATTTAAAAAAAAATTATTTTCAGATTAAAATTTAATCTACAGGTATGAATCTCTTTCTTCATTTTAAAATATAGGGAGATAACGAATAGTATTCAAGCTCAAAAGTCAATTAAACAATACAAAATAGGAGCAGAGAAAACACGGACCTCCGAAACATCAGAGGTGGGAATAGGTGCCATTGAGAAGTGAGCTACGGAAATAATATGAGTCTTGCCCATAATTCATTTTCGATATCTTATATACTGAGTTATAATTGCTAGTAGCAGCAGTGTGATAGATAATTAAATTCTTACCCGATTTAAGATTGGATAAATCGAACTGATTAACGTATTCTGAGTTCACTAACTTGATCACTTCGTACGGAAAACCAGCGTAACGTGTAATTCTGTTAAAGAATAATAGAATCATTCATTACTACGAGTGTGGGATAGTGAAATTCCACCTAGGGGACAAGATTCACGGTCTAGGACGCAATCTCTCACCAGAGGGCGCGCTCCGCTTACACCTCTGTTGTAGTCAAAAAAGTAGTTCGGATTGCCAAACATAAGTAAATGTGAACAAAAATTATATAAACATTGATTGTTTTGTATTTTTGCCAAAGATTTTACGTATTTTAAGCTCTCTGGTAGTAAATTTTTTCTAACTCTGTCTCCTTTGTTTCAAAATGAAAACGTGTGTAAAAATTCCAAACAAAATAGTGCCGTATATATTGAAACTATTTTAATATATACCCAAATTTTGAAAGAACAAAAGAAGAGCTACAGATTGATATTTCTAATTTCATTTTAAAAAAAATTACGAATTTGGTGGGAATCTATAATTTCGTTTTTAGGTGACCTGAGTCACTCAGGTGACCTATTGCCATCCGTGTTTGTCCGTCGGCGTCCGTCAAGCCGTCGTGTGTTAACATTTGAACATTTTCAATTCTTCTCTGAAACTGCTAAACCAATTTCAACCAAATTTTGTATACAGCATCTGTGGGTGAAGGGGAACAAAAATTGTGAATTTCATGGTCCCCGCCCCCCTGGGGCCTGAGGGGTGGGGCCAAAACCACCAAAATTATTGCAATCTTTAAAAATCTTCTTCTTTACTCCTGGACATCAAGCAGTCAAACTGTTTGCATGATTGTAATCAACATTGAGTCCTTTACCAAAATTTTGAAATTCATGGCCCTGGGGTCAGGGGTACTTGTGCTAGGGTGGGGCTAAATAAGTATATAGTGAAAATGCATTATTTCTTTGAAAACCTTCTTTTCTGCTTTTGGGTATTAAGTAAACTAACTAAGTACATAGTTATGTTGAGCAAGAGTGCCTCTACCAAAATTTTGAATTTTATGGCCCCAGGGTCAGGGGTTCTGGTGTTAGGGCGGGGCTCTATTGATCATACAGTGAAAATGCATTTATTCTTTGAAAATCTTCTCCTCTGCTCTTGGGTATCAAGTAAACTAACTAAGTACATAGTTATGTTGAGCAAGACTGCCTCTACCAAAATTTTGAATTTTATGGCCCCAGGGTCAGGGGTTCTGGTGTTAGGGCAGGGCTCTATTGATCATATAGTGAAAATGCATTTATTCTTTGAAAATCTTCTTCTCTGCCCCTTGGTATTAAATGAACTAACTAAACACATAGTTATGTTGAGCAAGAGTGCCTCTTCCAAAATTGTGAATATTATGGCCCCAGGGTCAGGGGTTCTAGTGTTAGGGCGGTGCTCTATTGATTACATAGTGAAAATACATTACATCTTTGAAAATCTTTTCTTTGCTCCTGGGTTTTATGCTAATGATCCAAGTGTATATATTTATGATGAAGAAAGGTGCATCTAGCAAAATGATTATTTTTTATGCCCCCTGGTTTATTCTGAAAATAAATTAATGCTTTGAAATCTGCTCTTAAGTATTAATCAACCATTTTATGATAAAATTTGCAAAATTTTGAAATATGTGGCCCCAGGGTCAGTGGTTCCTTTGGGGTGAGGTGCACAACTGGTTATAAAGTGGAAGTGCATTTACTCTTTGTTACTCTGATCTACATTTGGGTATTAGGTAAATAGAGTAAGCATGCTAAGTTCATAATTATGAGGAGCAATGGTGCCTCTTTCAAAATTGTGAATTGTGAATTTCGTGGCCTCTGGTTTAAAACACGAACCAATTTTAATTGTTTGAAAGTTGTTGCACGATACTCAGGTGACCTATAAGGCCCGTGGACCTCTTGTTCGTTTATATTTTCGTTTTACAAGATTCTTGTAATTTAGACGATAACAGAGGTGTTGGAGCGGAGCGTAAACAACGCCCTCTGGTGAGAGATTGTCTAGGACGAGGCTTTGCCGAGTCCTAGACTGTGAATCTTGGCCCCGAGGTGGAATTTCACAATTCCCACACGAGTATGTAATGAATGATTATTTTTCTCGCATTATCTTATCCAAAATAACGGCCTGTCAATGACGTCGCCATATATGGGGCTAAAAAAATATTTTTTATTTTCCATCTAATTAAAAATCTAAATACACCATCGGAGAGAGCGTACCTGAAAATGGTTTACACTTAGTGTAAACTGATAAAATAAATTTCAGTCCGTGTAAATTAATCAGATAGATAAAAACTGGGAATAAAAAACTTTTCTATCCGAGAGCGTAAAAGAAGAATCATTCCGCGTTCTAAAAATAGTGCCATTTTAAAAGTGAAAAAACGACAATATTTTGAATGAAAATAAGTTTATATCAATAGATAAAATGACAACATTTTAAGTATGTGTAACATTTTGTTTTACATTGTTACAATTTCTTTATATAAAGACGGAATGTTTACGTTATCTTTCGTGGCGTAGTAATACACAGTGTAAGACAGAAAAATCTCACACTGCTGTCTCACACCGGACAAGTCAATTTTACACTGGGGATTATGCGAGAAAAAAAGTTCTTCATATCATTAACGCTATAGATATGACGCATGCTGATAAGGAAAACTATGCTGTATATAGCTTAAACAGCTCTTAAATGCGATTAAAACACATAGCTGTAAATGGATTCACAGAAATAAGATAGGAGCGTTTTTAGCATTCTGAATAAAAAATATGTAATTTAATATAACTAACTTTTCATCTTGGAGAAAACTGCCAAATCGCTCTATATCCTCGCATCCAAATTCAAGCCATGAGGGATTTAACACAATTTTTGAGGTTTTCCAGTTTATAAGCGCATTTAATGTTACTAGCACAGGCTGAATATCATCCGTCACAGGGTTAGGCATAGCAATGTTGGCTTCATTGGATACCACCTAAATGAAAAGAAAATCTTCATGTCCTTCTAAAAATATAAATTCTTAAACTATTAACTAAACTTAGTTGATTTTATGTTAAATCTGAACTTTGAAACATTTAACTAAATGTTAAAATGTTAAATTAATTGATGATTAAATCAGTCTGCATCTATATGTGTAAAGAGTTAAAAAAAAACACACACACACACTTTTATGCCTGCCTGGCGATCAACACAAAAAATCCCACAGTTCACCACTGTTTTGTGACTAATCAAAACTGCTTTACTGGAACCTGTAGAACCCTGAATGAATAAACCAAAATATATCGAGGTTTATTTAAGGAATAACTGTCTTATTTTTCGATTTCATGATGTGATCAATCGATTGGTTTGCGCCGAAGGCGTTTATGTATAAAATTATCATGCAAGCCAATCGATCGATCATCGTCATGAAATCAAAAAATCTGAGTTATTCCTTATATTTACATGTGATTGATTCCGCCAATACACGTGCTAGAAGCCCTGCTTCTAGTCCCTGCACGTGATTTTTTTTTAAACCGCGCCTATCGATGAACCAGCAAATAAAGTACGTAAACTATTTGTAATTTTATCTCGAACAAAGACATTAGAAATGTAAATATATTTGCTTTTAGAAGTGTCAATGTAAAGATCACCCGCTTTTGACACCAGAAAAATTCTTACCGTTGTTAGGATAATGAACGCAGGGTCTCCCGGAAACACACTTTTAATTGTTGCTAAATATACTTCATCAGTAACTGGACTTTCGCCTTGAAAATCACTGCAGAAATTTAAATCTCTTATTTATTCATTTTTTTAATTGAGAGAAGACGTTAAAAAAAAAATTAGATCTTCACTTAAAGTTAAATATAGCTTTTAAAAATTACTCACTATTTGATATCAGACTCTTTCAAAAATCTGACTTGTTTCAGGTTGGATGATCTAAGCATGATAAAAAATCTTTTAATTTTAAAAAAGTATCTTAAAATTGTGCTATTATAAGTCTTATGAAATAACTTTTGCAGGTATATGCGACCGTACACTGTTTGGATCTGTTGTTCATTAATTCCGTTTTTTCTTTTTGCCCCCCCCCCCCCCCCCCCGCTTCTACATACATGTATATGTACCTGTCTGTGTTTTCGCTACTTTTAAGGTGCTCCGCAATTAATATGTCTTCTTCTGCTGATTGGGATCCCATTATAATCACTGTTGGGTTAACCTTCACAAAGAAATATTGATACATATATACAAAAACAATCCAAAGATAATTAATGTATAATTTATTTTTTTTTACTAATTACAGTTTTACCATTATTTATACACTGAATTGTCTATGGATGTTTACGCGTGCCCGGTCATAACAAGCTGCTGAAACAGATGGTCAGTTTATCCGGTTGACAGAGGCTACTTCCTCTCCTTTGGCACCTGATCTATTTTTTTATGTATTAGAGTACCATGTTTGCCTACTCCCAATATGTATTGTTTTAATGTGCTTTGAAGTTCTTTTGATAACTGTCCGTATCTTCATATTTCATTAAAATTTTTAATAAAAGTATTTGAAACCACAGAATTTTTCTAAAATCTATAACACCATAAACGTACGAAATTAAACAATATATAAAACTTTACCACACAAAATATTTTGATATCATTGACTGCTGCTTTCTTCAACAAGAGTTCCACGGGCCTTATAGGTCACCTGGGTATCCCGTAACAACTTTCCAACAATTGAATTTGATTCGCGTTTTAAATCAGAGGCCATGAAATTCACAATTTTGAAAGAGGCACCATTGCCTATCATAATTATACACTTAGGATGCTTACTTTGGTTACTTAATACCAAGAAGTAGCTCAGAGTAACAAAGAGAAAATGCATTTCCACTTTGTAACCAGTTGTGCACCCCATCCCACAGGAACCACTGACCCCGGGGCCACATATTTCAAAATTTTGGAACTTTTATCATGAATTTTACTTCATCATAAATCGAATAACACCAAAGTGCAGATTTCAAAGCATTAATTTTTTTTCAGACAATGTACCCCCCCCCCCTCCATGACCTCTGACCCAAGGGCCCGGAAATTCAAAAATCTCAAAGAGGGATCCCGCCTCCTCATAACTACGTACATAGTTCATTGGTTTTATACCCAGGTGCAGAATAATTCACTTTCACTATATAATCTTTATAGCCCCGACCTAGCACTAGAACCCCTAACCCTGGGGCCATGAAATTCACAATTTTGAAAGAGGCAGCCTTAATCAACATAACTATGCACTTGGTTAGTTTATCTAATCCCCATGAGCAGAGAAGAAGAATTTCAAAGAATTTATGCATTTTCACTTAATAATCTATTTAGCCCCGCCCTAGCACCAGAACTCCTGACCCTGGGGCCATGAATTTTACAATTTTGGTGGAGGACTCAATGCTTATTACAATTATACCAACAGTTTGACTGCTTGATGTCCAGGAGTAAAGAAGATTTTTAAAGATTGCAATAACTTTAAGTGGTTTTGGCCCCACGCCCCCAGGGGGACAGGGACCATGAAATTCACAATTGTTGTTTCCCTTCACCCATAGATGTTATATGCCAAATTTGGTTGAAATTGGTTCAGCGGTTTCAGAGAAGAAGCTGAAAATGTTCAAATGTTAACGCACGACGACGGGCGAAAACGGATGTCACCTGAGTTAATAAAAACTGAACTCGTTCATATACTCAATTGCTTTTTGTAAATTAGTTTTAAAATTTAAAAACATTCTGACTGTACACAAACGTATTCTGAAAAATGATATTAAAAAGATGCTTGAGTTTCTGACTGGCAATATCAACGTAATTTCTGAAGGTCTTCCAACAATCTGTTAGAATTTCCAACGGCGCTGATTACGCCCCTCTATGAGCAGATTTATTTTTTACTCATATGAAGCAGGATTTATTTAAAAACTTATACATGAAAAGAAGAAAGCACTTGCTTTTAACTCGACACTCCGACGACGAATTATCAATTAAAAATAGTTACTTCTATTCATATGTTGACTAGTGATATCCGAGTGAGCTTTAAATAAAAAGATACACAAGAGTCTGACACATCTGTTTCATATTAGAATATGACACAAAAAAACGCTTATGGTAACCTAGAAGATTTAAAAAAGAAAACATAATGCTTTTAAGTTTTCAATCGTAAACTTTTCTTACTTAAATATAATTATTATAAGCAGCTAGCATCTGCATATGGTTTAACATCTCTCAGTTGATTCGATACGGAATAAAGTGTTCCGCTTACGCATCAATTTCTAAAACAAGGCTAGGTATTGAGAAACAAGTTGATGAAACAAGAATTCAACAGTTGCGTCTGAAGTCCTCATTTTGTAGTTTTATGGTAGATGCAATAACATTGTCAGCAAAATACAACCTATCGTTAAGTCAATGCTGACTGAAATTTAACATAAAAATCAAGGTAATAATTTTCAAACTGAATTGTCTACGGATTTTTACATTTTTACAATCATGACAAGGAGATATGTGATTTGTTATTGAATTTTGCACAAAATATCAAAAAATTAACGTGGGCGATGGCTGTGGACACTGTTTTCGGAAAATCACCCTTGAAATGTGCCATTTTGATTTTTCTATTGAAAATAGAGAAATGCTTCACATTAATGACGTCTACATGGCACCTGATTTATCAGAGTCATTTATTTAACCCACCTTTGATGTTTTTTTTAGGGCGCAATAAAGCTAAAACCATACCTGTTCTTTCAAACTGAATTGTCTACCATTTTTACAATCATGACAAAATTATTTTGTAATTGGTTTTTTGGGATCCTTGTTAGCTCATCTCCCGAAAATTATTTTGTAATTGGACTCTGAGTTTCATTGAAGTTGTTGTAATCAAAAATTTCAAGTATACAGTCAAACTTCGTTACCTCGAATTCGATGGGACCGAGGAAAAACTTTCGAGAGAATTATCGAGATATCGAGGGAAAAATACGTAAAGAATAAGTGGTTGGGACTTAAAATTCACTTCGACCTATCGGTAATCGAGATACCGAAGTTCAACAAAAAAGTAAATATCCCCTGATTTGCACTAAGCTTTTATATGTTAATCCAAATATTTGATAATGAGCACAATTTAAATTAATTATCTTGATAACATAGTAAAAATGTGTTTATACCTTATCTGAATACCTCTCAAAATCGATGTAAATGGTTAAAATATGTTACCTGCTGCTGCTGACTTTTATAACGGAAATCGTAAACCTGCAATGGTATAAATAACATCAAATGCGAAATGTAATTAAAAAGACTCAATATTCACGTCATTTCTTGCAGAAAAGGGTTTGCTAAAGGTTTATACTAACTGTATGATAAATGCATCCTATCGAGACTGTTCCCAAAAGGAGGGGGAAATATTTTAGATCCGCCACTCCATTCACCATGACAATGTCACCTTTCTGAATTCCATTCTTCATAAGCCATTTGGAAAACAATATGGACTGTAAATAAGATGAAATAATACTGTTTCACTTTATTTTCAATTGATTAAATATCACTTTTCATGAAATTAATCTTTATTTACTCAATTTTTAATCATTTTTATCCCTGATTTTTGTTCAAGAAAATGATCACGTACTTGTCAAAAATATTCTAAAACAGACATTTACGGGTATGTGGAAACGGAATAGACAATCTTATGAACTGTAGAAATGACTATGTCCACATTGTGCTTACTAAACTGAAATAAAGTACGAGGGTTGTCATGGAGCACATGACTCTTAAAGATCTGTAAGTCTTCCTGAAATCCACACTTAACGAACGTTTAAGTCATTAAACACAAAATCTGATTTACTTTGTCTTTGAACGCATCATATCAAAATATAATGCATGTCACAGTATACAAGGAGAATCACGTAATAAGAATGTGTTACTGTCTCCCGCTTTCACAAAAGACAGGGAAAACTGTTTCTTATTCTTCTGTCCTGCTGTCACAAAAACTCATAACTTTGATCATAGCTTTTGAATGGGAAGAAATAGGGCTTCACTGTTACTTATATATATAACCTGTGCAAGACTTTTTCTAATAGACAATGATTTTCGACCCTGTGACATTGAAGTTAAAGCTACGTCACAAAAATTTTATAAAATTACTTAAAATCGGTCAATACTATTGATTGATTGTATATTGTTTAGCGTCCCTCTCAAGAAAATTTCACACATATGGAGATGCCACCACTTGCCGGTGGAGAGCTACTAATTTTGTCCTATACTCGATATTTAGGGCCATTTAGCAGTCAGGGATCTTTTTCGTGCCAGCACCTATTGCGACCGGTACCTCGATTTATACCGTCTCATCCAAAGGACCGGTCTTCACGTCCCACAGTGGGATTTGAACCCGCGACGTAAGGACGCTCTAACCACTGCGCCACGCGAGCGACCATAACTATTGCAAGAGAAAAGTATGGCACGCCAAATTCACAAATATGAGTTAAACCTAGTTTCACAATTGATAAACTAGGTTTATCGACTGTAACCTATAGTTTACAAACCGTTAAGTATAGTTAACAATTCGTTAAGTATAGTTTTCATCTGTAAACTATATTTAATGGGCGTTAACTATAGTTTACGAATGCTAATCTAAGTTTATCTGTCTGAATAAAGCCTTAACAATAGATTTTGTTGATAAACATAGATTCACGTTTGTAAACTACAGTTTACAATCGTAAATTATAGTTAAGAGTTGTTAATCATAGTTTCACAAATCGTGAAACTATATTTATCAGATCGTTAACTATAGTTAACGGTTTGTAAACTATAGTTTAGAAATCGTGAAACTGTATTTATCAGATAATCTATGTTTTGCAATCGCAAATGATTGTTTTCGGTGTTAAGTATAGTTTACGGTTGTGAAACATAGATTATCGTGTTAACTATGGTTTACATGTGTAAAATATAGATTAACGTCGTTAACTATAGTTTACATTCGGTAAACTATAGCTTACAACCGATAAACCTAGTTAATCGATTGTAAAACTATGATTATCTCATTTTTGTGAATTTGGCGTGCCATAGAAAAGGATAGGACTTTCATTTCTATACATGTACACGTATTACATGTGGCAAGACCTTTCTAAATATACACATGTGAATTTGACTCTGTAACCTTTACCATATAAAGTTAACTTGACATACTTAAAAAAAAGTTATCTTTTTACCTTGAGAAGGGCTTTCACACTGTACATATGCATTACATGTAACAAGATGTTTCCAAGCGTGCTAACTGCTACCCCTTTAAGGCTTGATCTTGATGTATGATAAATTTTAAAAAATAATTTTGGTGATAACTTTTGATAAACAAAAGTATAAGAACCTTCATATTTGACATATAAAAGTATAAGGACCTTAATATTTTACATATTATGCCATAAATAATGGCATCCAATTGCAACCCACTAGGACACCGAAAGCGGGGGTAACAATTCTTCAAATTTCCTTTTTTGTGTTTCTGTTTTTATGAGCCGGGATCGAAAGATCCGAGGCGTATATTGTTTTTTTGTTCTGTCTGTTTATCTGCAAACTTTAACCTTCATCATAACTTTTGAACCATGAGTGAAAGAGACTTCAGAAATATTTGGGGGAAAAAATCTTTATGGAATAAAAATTATGAAATAAAATAGGCTCTAAAAATGCATAATTTTGAGAAGAACAGTGCTTCCTACCCTATAATTGCCAGTATAAAAAGTTAAAGAGTTAAAGTTTGTTGAATAATGATGGAATATGTGCATGTTGACCTCCAATATGGCGGCCAAAGGGAAATAACTATTCTTAATTTGGGTTTACTGAAAACTATCTATATGATATATACAGGTGCCGAAAAAATGAACACATTGTTACCTACATCTTTGCGAAGCTTCTTTATTGTCAGTTCTTGGTTGAATTCCGGCGCAGCAAACAACACTTTATCGGGGTCTATATCCTCGTGTAATAGCACTTCTCCTATGGTTTCCTCACTGAGCGGGACTCCACAGGCCCCATAACAATAGCTCTCAGTCAGGCCGTCTGCAGGATTACAATCACTAACAAGAGAAAGAACCAGGAATATTCTTTAACAATATTTGTAACATGGGAAAAATCCATTAAATGGCATAATGAAAAAAAAATTGATGAGAGAAATCTGGTTGATTGATTGCATATTAGCAGCGTATGATTTTGGGTCATTAAAATACTTTAATTAGGACTGTTTTTTCCCGTGATACACGGTGTAATGTTGTATTATATATCTCTTACATTATTTATACATGTATTATAAAATAATAAAGAAAAAATAGGAAAAATGCACAGAGAGAAAAAAATAAAGAGCATAGATAAAAAACACACACTGTGAGAATCGAACTTACTAAGATCTTTATGTCTACAATCTAGCAATCATACCACTACGCCACGAAATCATTGAAATCGGATGGACAAATTTAAGACAGATTGTTGAAATCTTGAAATATTTTGAGAAGAAATACAAGATGTGTTTGTGAAACACTATGCACCCGGCGGCAAAAAAGTCTTTTTAAAAAGCTATTTTTAGCATATATGTCACAATCAAGGTCATTGACCTTGGTATCATTTGAAAGAAATTGATTAGTAAAGAAAGGATACCAAGTAAAAGTCTCTATCTCTTGTGGTTCAAAAGTTATGGCAAAGTTTCGAAAAAACTATTTTTAGCATAAAGGTCACAGTAAAGGTCACAAGGTCATTGACCTTGGTGTCATTTGAAAGAAATTAATTAGTGGAGTATGCATACTAAATAGACAGTCTCTATCTTCTAGGGTTCGAAAGAAATGGCAAAGGTACGAAAAAACTATTTTTAGGATATAGGTCACAGTAAAGGTCACAAAGTCATTGACCTTGATGTCATTTGAAAGGGTTTAATAGGTGGAGTATGCAAACCAAATATGAAGCCTCTATCTTTCATGGTTCAAAAGTTATGGCGAAGGTTAAAGTTTGCAGATAAAAAGCTATTTTTAGCATATAGGTCAAGGTCAGAGGGCCATTGACCTTGGTGTCATTTGAAAGAGCTTAATTAGTGGAGTATGTATACCAAATATAAAGTTTCTATCTTTCATGGTTCAAAAGTTATAGCGAAGATTAAAGTTTGCAGACAAACAGACAGACAGGATAAAAACAATATACGCCCGGGATCTATCGATCCGGGTGCATAATTAGATACATGTTTTCAACATTTTCAGTATGAAGACCACCTTTAGCCAAAATTATCTAAATGCAACAAAGTGCAGTCATATCTAAAAAAAATTATTCAGCGCCAAAATAGATGTTGTATGACTTTAGGGATCGGGCTCGTCATACAAGTGTATTGAATGCATGGCGCCATATTGTCAAGCTTTGTGTCTGTAGCAGTGTGAATAAAGTTTATAACAGTTTACACGCGTTAGTGGTGGATTCTCTCCTACCGTGGCGTGGTGGCAGCGATTTCGACTCTACATCTCCGGAAGTAATCGACGAGGACTCTCGTGTAAGTAGTTTTACACGCACCCGACAACGTGTTTACCTTGACAAGGATGACCTGCATACACAGAGCACCCAAACAATGGTGTCTTTCTAAAACTGAAACTGTGAGTACATTCGAAAACTGTGAACAACATTCAATCTATTCGTTATCCCTTCATCCAAATTTTTCTGCATTTTTATCTCATGACACAAAATGGGCCAAGAAGTCGAAGGCTAACCCGAATCGTGACTTTACAGACGATCGACGATGACCCGGTTCCGGAGAACAAGCGGCTTAAAGCACAGCAAATGTCAACCACGCTAGATCTTAATCTTGGCCAAATTTCAAACTACTGTCCTGTGATTTCACGTAACGTAATAGTGAAAAACTCAACTTCCTTAGAACAAATATGGCAGTCAATCAGGTTGCACTTCGGCTTCCAGTCATCCGGCGCCGATTTCTTAGATCTATGACATTACCCTGCGCCTGATGAACGTCCAGAGGATCTGTATCAGAGACTGTACGTTAGCTTTCACTGATGACAACCTGTTAAAGAAAGAAGGCGGTATTACACACCATGGCGCAAATATTGAAGAGGACGAGGAACTGTCACCAACAGTTGAAAACCTTATTGTTCTGACCTAGCTACGTTTGATAAACACCTCATTGTCACAACTTGTGAAGCAGCGTTATGGCACAGAGCTTAGAGTGCGTACGTTAGCATCTATAAAACCTAAAATATTTCAGGCTCCCACATCACTACTCGAGGAGATTCTCAACAATGAAGATGCCAGATCAGTCCGCACATTTACTCAACCTCATAAGGATATCAGTACTTCTTATAATCAAAAACCACCCAATAAGACTCGAAACCGCTCCTGACCTTTATGTTAGCAAGCAAAACCCACACGTAAACATTTCCTCAGCGAGTGCCATTTTCTACCTGACAGTGACCTCAAATACATGGCCAAAGCAAGACAGATCCTAAGTATCCTTGAC